GGTACAGTCTCGAGGCCAAGGGAGTGGGGGTGAAGCACAGAGTAAGAAACCATGCACTAAGTACAAATATTATTCTGCACATTATCCGTCTTTCTGTTTTGTCTAAAACACGGCCCTGTTTATATTTCAAAACACGAAAGTTTCGGAGACTGGATTCTCCTGAGATAGGGACAAACTGTATCGATTGGGCACAACTGCGTAGATATTACTTGAAGACAGAAACATAATCTAATCCCCGAAACGTTGTGTTTTGAAATATAAACAGGGCGGTGTTTTAGACAAAATAGGACGATGTATATTGTCCAGAAACATAATATTTATACCACTGTACCTTCGTCACAAACTTTTATATCTTATTCATGCATTAAGTGATGAATCCATATTGTGTAAAGTCACGTAAGTTAGGTTAAGTACGCACTAAGAAGGGAGGCAAAATGACGGTATATGTCTGAGGAGACTAAGAAATATTTATCGGTCTACCGAGAACTACATAAATGACCGAAATGCGCAAGGATATAAACCCTGCACCGGGACCCACCAACTATGAAACCAGTGACAAGTTGCTCTACTGTAGCTTGCAGTTCTCTTATACGGGATGCTGAAGGAAATGGAGTTGAATTCTTCCTGTGCACTAAGGCTATTGTGGAGGTCACCCAAACCCCAATATGGGAGAAGGCTTTTATTCGATACGTCGCTACTTTCTTGCATCAACGCCTGATGAAGATACACGCAAACACAGTTTTGGTAAAAAAAACCCTAAAGGAAAGAAGACACTTGGAAGACATGAGAGTAGATGGGAGAATATTAAACTACTGTGACATGTAGATCCGTTGCTAGACAACGACGGCAAAATAAGTACCTATACAGTAGCCGTTGCTAAGTAATGGCTATCTAAACAACGGTCGTTGCTATAAATAGCTGAGTAGCGATCACGTGAGCATCCCAACAGAAAAACGGTATTTTCTACGCGGTCCGCGCCAAGATGTTATAAGCGGGACAAGTTTAGAGCTGGAGTGAAAGCTAGGTATCCTAACGATTGCACCATACCAGACACTTACCGCACCACTGGAAATTTTCCAAGCTGCACAACAGTCCGCGATTTGCACGCAACTTTCAACGTTCCGTATGTACGTATATGAGTAAATAATCAAATTTTGCAGCCAACTAGCAGAAGTCATACATAATCATTAGAATGAACATGTTCGCGGTATATGATGAAGTGAAGGCAGACATGGAAAAATATAAGAGACTTAAACTTGACGGTGGCCAAGCTTACGACCGTTCAAGTGACTAAGCTGCCGTTGTAACATAAAATACGTTAAGATAGACACCTGCTTTGCAAAGCCTGTACTGACAGAGAAATTGTGTATATAGTGCAAAAGGAAGAGTTTTCAATAACACGCTACATGTGCGATACGTACACTTGACGAAAAACCAAGCATATTCATAAGAGACAAAGCCATCTTCTAATTAGAGAGAATGTTACATAAGGACTATGACTACAAGGGTTCAGTTGAAAAAGAAATCTCTGCTCGTGATCCTCTTAGAGCTTGGCGCCAAGACGAACTGATTGGCGAATTCTGACTCTGACTCTGCTGGAATGAGCTGGGTACGTGGTTGGAGAGGTAGTCAGTTAGTCGAGGGTTGCTGTAGCTGAGGCCGGGAATAGTTCAGGAACCCAGAGTCCGCCGTTGGAAGCCGTTACCAAGCAACAGCTGGTGGAGACTCTACGAGACTGAGAATAATAGTGTGTATGTAATAGTGAACTGTAAAGTGTTGTATCGAGATGCACAAAAGTCCAGTAAATCCAATTACCAATCCAAACCCCGTCTATACTCTATCACGTAACAATATTAAAGAAATAAGACGGGAGGTCAGGGACTGAATGCAGTTTTCTTGTTTCGCAAGGCCATGTAATTCGGAGAAAGCGTAACGTTTCGGAAGAACATATCGTCTTCATCTTCAGGGACGAATAGAAAATCAAGAGAAACTGCGAGTGGGAAATCAGACGCCTGAAGCTCCGTGTACCTTTCGGCCCTGAAGACGGAGGTAATATGTTCCTCGGAAACGTCGGGTTGTCTTTGAACCATACGGAGTTACAGCCGACTGACCATAGCGTTCACAGTTTTTTTTATTGCTAGTGGGGTGGGTCTAAATCCCTTGTACTGCGGCCACTTCTGGCCTATTGTACCAGCCCCAGATGATAGGTGAGGGTGATTGTAGAGCAATTGGTGGAATGAAGATTGGCAGGGGAAACCGAAGTACTCGGAGAAAAGCTGCCCCAGCGCCATTTTTCCACCACAAATCCCACTTGACCAGACCCGGGATCGAACCCGGGCCGCCGCGGTGGGAAGCCAGCGACTAACCGCTTGAGCTATGGCGCAGCCAAGTGTTCACAGTTACTGCCGTGGGAACGGCATGTGAGTCGGGGGCGGATAAATTGGCTGGCTCTCATGAACACGGTAACGCCTTTTCGGCTTCCATATTCATTCATTCATCAGTAATCTGTCAGACGACAGGTCCACAGTCTCTTCCAAAACAGTTCCTCCACTTAATGCGATCTTCTGTTTTTGGAAAGAGACTATCCAGGAAAAGTGATAATGTGGTAGTTTTTCCATTTGCTTTCCACATCGCAGTACAACTGCCGTTCAAACCACTCTGGTCACGCCTGTTGCTATACGAACTTGAACCATCTCGAGCATCATTTGCTCTGTGCTTCAAGTCGCTGCTGATGACGCTGCTTCCGGCATCAGTTTTTGGTGTCTCTCTTCGTCTGATGCCTACCCTTTGACCTCTCCAGCAAGGGAGGCCCTGCCAGTAGCTACGATACCGCTGGTATAGCTCTCAGGGTCCTTGGCATACTCAAACCACCTCACCACGATAAGGTGGAGACACCGACGAGGTGCTTCCATATAATGTCAGGAAATATTTTGACAAGAAGAGGGTATCTTAGCATCTCGTAATTTACTCCAGTTAGTTATTTCGTCAGTACAGTGAACATCACAGCACACTGTCTGTACTTTCGAGCGGAAATAAATTTATGTGACAAAAATAAACACGCGACACACCCTTCAGCTGCTCTTCACACACGGCGTACTGCGTTCAGAAGAGGGATGGATGCGGTTATTTCTGTGCGACCAAGAGCCACTGTATTTATATCTCGCGCCCTTACACTGCATGTCTTGTAGAAGGGGCCAGCCCTCCTCGATGGGGGGTAACCACAGATTCCAGTCCATTCCATATGAGAGGATGTGCCTTAATAAGAGCTGGGAAATTTAACAGCTCAAATTACAGTGAGTTTTCAAATGTCTCCATTGCATTGCAGCTTCCCTTACTAACTAAATAACTTAATTACTTATGCAATGGAGACGAGTCCTTTGTGACAAGTTGGTAATTGTTCAGTTCAACAAAAAACTATCGTAATTGTGTGGAACGCAAAGGTTCATCACCGTGTACACAAGATCCCGCCAGTTATCCCTACACTTAGCCCACACCTCCACCTACTTCTATACGATCTATTTTTATATTATCTTCCATCTATGTCTAAGTCGTCCTAGTAGCACAGGGTGATCCTAAATTATTGTCGGAGTTTCCGTGGCTTATAATTTTCACACCGGAAAAAACAAAATGACACTGTTTATGGAATACGTAATTCAAAATTTTAGTACCTGTAGACTCGATACTGCACAATGCTAAACAACTGCAGGTTTCAATTTCCCTCAAATTATAGGCCACGGAAACCCAGACAATAATTTAGAATCACCCTGTGTTCGTATTTCCCCTCCAGGTTAGAAGGTAAAGCTATCCCTGTAACAGGCAGTGAAGGTACATAGGGTTGTGAGACGTCGAGACTCTCATATCTTCTAGATAGTCAGCTCACAGATGGCGGTAAAGTTGTCAGACTTACGCGTCGGCCGTCTTTACCCTCAGGAAGATTCCTGATACTCATTTTTGTTAGAGGCTGAGTCTACCCAAGGTTATAGTGCAGTTGGAATGATTAGATAAATTGAAGAAATAAAATGACCTCATCGGGAAAAGAAACCCGCGATCTTTACGGTTTGTAGCATAGTTCTTCAACAAACTACGATACCGCGTGATCTGAACTTTGCCACATTTCCAAAGGATCTATTAACTATCTTCGTATCATGATTTTGTTCTATCTCCGTTACTAATGAGTTTCGCTCAACTGAGCACCACATCAAGGAGGGTCATACGGGATTGAGGAATAGTTGCACACTTCTTTAAACTCGTCACCAAATGGAAATATGTGGCCAGTTTCATATTCTGGCCGATCTAAGCCCAGGAAACGAGCCCACGGTATTCATTGGATAATAGGCTGTGTGTGTGTTCTAGAGCTCGATTGAACTCTGCAGGGATGAGAAATATCTTTTCTTTCAACCTGGAATCGAATTGTAATTCGTCAATTGCGCAGCGCGTAACTTGCTCTGTATACCGACTAAAGGTCTGAGGAAATCCACGTAAGAGCTCATTCGGATAGCCGTCTCCTATAAGCTCTCGAATACGAAGAAATATTGCTGGCCACTCGGCGTCGACTTTGGGTAGGATGTCGTATGGGAGAGAGATATGTCACCAATTTGTGTAACCTAAAAGCAAGAGACGTTTAGGAAGACCTGGGTGTAGATGGGAGCATAACATCAAAGTGGGTAACAAATCAGTAGGCTAGAAGCATGTAGACTGGACTCATCTAGATTAGGTTACGGGTCAGTGGTGGGCTCTTGTGAACACGGTAATGAACCTCGCGGTACCATGAAAGGCGGACAATCTCTTGGCTCTTTTAGCAACTATTAGATTCTAATGAAGGACTCTTACTACGGTAACGTCATTACTTTGTCAGACAATAAAGCCATTGTTAAGTTAATTTCGGGCACAACCGCATTCGAATCCATATCACCCTGACATTAGTTAGAACTAGTGTCCAACAGATGGCGGGCTGTAGAACTACAACGTAATGGTTTCACTTGGGGTGTGAGCGACACACACTCGAAGTGTCAGAACCGTCAGAACGTAGGCATAGGGTGGAGAGTCAGTTTGTCGTCAACTTCTGAGGAAGAATAAGGTAAGACTACGTTATTTACTCAATCCTATAAGCACAGTGGTGCGTATTTATAACACTTACATTAACAACTATACATTTTGCCTATTTATGTGTTTCTTATGCTGTCAAAATAAACAAAAGTTACATCTGTAAACAACATTAAAGGACAGGTCTTTGTAATGGAGAAGCAGTGTGTTTTCTACGAGGTAGAAGCTAAACTTTTGAGTACTATGTAGACGAACTTCTTAAAGCAGCACACTTATCAGAGAAATGTTTGGGAACTGCAATATTCACCAGAAGCTTTGACAACTGGCTAGAAGTCACTGTTTCCGGCAGGTCATGCGATCGACTATCGCGACCCAAGTTCACTTGATTTTGCTACTGCGTGCTTCTCATGTTGCCCTCCTGATGTAAATTCGTCAAAATAAACAGCTTCTGCATTAAAAGTGAGTAAATGTTCTTCCCAAATTATTCAATTCAGGCAGTAGAAGCAATAAACTATATTCGATCTACTAATAAAAAGAGTTGCGTCGACATCAGTTAATGACGTAACCGGGCTCTTCAGTATTAAATGTCATTACATTCTCTTTTAGCATCATTTCGGTATTCATACGCCGGTAGGGAATTGTAACATGCTCACACAAAACTTTCCTGTCGTGAGGGTGCCTACACGAGGTATATGACATGTGAGCAGATGGACTATTCACGGAATTGGTTCATATCTACTATGCTGTATCTACTATGTTCTTAGATTTCAGTACTAAATAAAGTGCGTGTCATATGTGTCTTCTTCTACCATATGATCTGTTTATTTCCTTAAGAATATTAGTCAGATTAACTTCACACGTAAAGCAGTAATAACATTGTACGTAAGAATTGCGTATGTTGCTTCAAGCCGTTAACTGGTTAAAGGTGACATTGTCCCTGTGCTTAATTACTTAAGCACTATGCTTTGAACATATATGGAGAAGGGAGGTATACCTCCACCTTTCTTAACATCGGCACTAGATGGAGGTGAGTGGTCAGCTTCACGCCCCTGTCGCTTTAACCCCGAGGAAAAGCCCACGGTACCGATTACATAGGAGCCTGGGTGAGCCCCAGGCTCGGTATGGACGCTGTGGAGAAGAGAAAATCTTACACTGATGGGAATCGAATCCAGGCCGTCAAGTTCGTAGCCGGTCGCTATACCGACTGACCTAATCCGGCTCCTGAGAGGTGAAACGGTAGAAATTTTAAAGAAAACAGTCGTGAAGGAGGCTGTCTTCTGGTATGCAACACCGTGTAGTTCGGTAGTTCGTGACGTTTCGGTTGAATATGTATCACTGACCTTGCGCAATTTTGAGCTACCATAGCAACCAGTTGTTCAGCATGAACGTAATTTATGTAGTAGCAAGTAGCCTTTTGTTTCGGTGCATCGTGTCTATTTTGTGAGTACTGATAATTCTTTCTCCTGGATATTTGAATTATAATTAAAAGGGCAAAGTTGTCCCCGTGCATAATTTATTAAGCTCTACGCCGTGAAGGCGTATGGGGAAGTGGATGTATAGATGTAGGTTTTCTTGACTTCGGCACAAGTTGGAGGTGAGTGGTAAGCTTCATGATCCTGCTGCTTTACCCCCTGGGGAAGAGCCCCCGGTGCCCATTGGATAGGAGGCTGGGTGGGCCCCAGAGTCAATCTAGACGACGTGGAGGAGAGAAAATTCTTGACCCTACCGAGACTCGAACTCCGACTCCTTGCTCGTCCAGCCACTAACCAGTCGATATACCGACGCTTTACGATTAATTATTTATGCGTGTTAATCGCAGAGATGGCGTTAAACTTCGGCCTCGACGTATCATCCGGCAACATGTAGGTCTGGAGAGGAATGCGGTAGACAGAAGGGGGAGCTGGTAGTTCGAAAGCTTGCATAACAAACGACGGACATTCCCGTTGAATTCTCAGCCGGCGTTTCAGTATTTGTTCATGAAAATCAGTTAACAAAAATGTGTTATTATATATATATATTCCACTTACGGACCACGACACAGCTCAGGCGATTAAGCGAGGTGAAACTTTGGGATCAGTCCCATATGAGTGGGAAAGTTGGGTCAGGTGTTAGCGATTACGTTGCTGTTTCGAATATCCTGAAGTTTTTCGTGGTTCACCTCAGTCTCTCCAGGCCAGTACATTGAAACAGGCTACGATCGTTTCCTTCCATTTCTTCCAATTCATCATTCATTAATTATCCCATTATTCGACGCCATATACAATAATTTCAGGTACTGACAGTGCCTTTAAAATATAAATAAGTAAATAATTAAATCCTGGATGATTTCATGTGAGATTCGTGATGGGCGAAGTGTCACGGGTGCCCGATATTCTCAACATTTCTCTGATTTTCTCCTACTGATCATCTTTACACTTCCCCTCCACCCGAGATGTACGACAGCTCTGAACAGGCAGCACGTTATCACATCCTCAGCCTTAAGTTGAGAGCTCCATCTGCTTGATTACAGGGCAAAAAGAATGCTTTTAGAAAAGCCATATAAGAATAATTACATTTTGTTATACAGCCTTGCAACTAGTATTTATGGACCACCTTCGTTACTAAGTCTTTCAGTTCCTACCAAATAGGGCGGAGGCGCTTTATTTCAAATACTTTTGGTAGGAGCAACTCGTTTATAGAATCATGAACCGTTAGTACTTTCTTGCGTTCAGGAAGTTTAATATGTCTAGTGTGAGAATTAGTACGAGTATGTAGTTAGATCAGCATGTACTGTCTTTGCTCGCTTGGAAACCGGGATCGTGGGTTCGAATCCCACTCAGGGCATGGATGTTTAGTTTGTTCGTGTGCGTTTCTCTGTGTTTGTCTACAGGTAGAGGCCTTGCGACGAGCTGATCACCCGCCCAAGGGGTCCTACTTAATGTGTAAGATCTGGAAAAACCGAAGTGAACGGAGAAGTTCAAGGAGGTAGGCCTAGGCCCACTGGGGCTGTAGTGCCAAGGAAAAAAAATGTAGTTAGATCTAACTTGCGGCGCATATAGAGAAATCTAGATGAAAACAAAAATGTCTTAAAGAAAATTTGTCCTCGAAAACGGTAGTAAATTTCGGACAGGGGTGGTTTCTATTTTGGATATCGTTGTATTTAAACAGATGCGATTCATAAAATAGAACCGTAATAGAATGAAAAGAACAAGAGAAACGCAGGTCTACATTACGTACGTTCATTTTATTTTTTTATAAAGAAGGTAAGTAAAGTTGTCCCTGTGCTTAACTAATTAAGCACTACGCCATGGAGGTGTATGGGAGAGTGGATATATAGATCCACGTGCTCTTGGCCTAGGCATTAGTTGATGATGAGGGGTCAGTTTCACTCCCCGACCATTTTACCCCCTGGGAAAGAGCCCCGGCACCCATCTGATAGGAAGCTGAGTGGGCTCCAGAGCCGATCTGGACAACGTGGAGAAAATTCTTGACCATACCGGGATTTGAACTCCGACCCCTTTGTCATCCAGCCAGTAGCCAGTCGCTATACCGACTGCACTATCCCGGCTCCTTTTTATAAAGATGAGATTGTCATATTTGAAATATATTAATTACATTAATATTTACGAAATAATCACATAGTTTTCAACAGAAATTAACATCAAGTTATGTCCTCATTCGAGTCACAATTCAAATTCACAAAAGTAGGTCTTTCAGGAATTCCATTTCTTTTTCTTTTACAGCCTCCGCTGCACTTCTCATGGCGTCTATGGCCCATTCCTTTCTTTCAGTATCAGCCAGAGAAGAATGAATAAGATATCAAGTCTATATAAAATGAGGTTCCTAATTTCGGGCGCTCGAAAGTCGCAACCATGTTAAGTATCGAAATTAGGCAACCCAGTACTAATTTAAACATGACAGCATAACGGAGAATTGAAACTTTAGGAAGCGATATAAACACATGACACACATGTTGTAATGTATATAATCAAGTTCATATAAACAGTGTGCAAGTTAGAACGAACGTATTGTTTTGAAACCTTAGCTTTGTTAGTGAAAGCATTACATCAGAATTAGCAGAAACACACTGATGGCAAGGCAACACAGCTGCCTCGACGCCCAATCTATCGCTGCTGAGAAACTGGCCGGGTACGAGGTATGAAATCATGTGCCCTCCACTGCAATCCTGCCCTTACTTGCTGTAAAAAGCCACGCTATCCAAAATTAGGGGTCTTTACCCTATTGCTGAAAACAAAAGCACTTGCTACGCATGCGTGGCATAAAGTGTGTAAAATGATCACGCTATGTAAGTGTCAGCATGTATGTCCACGAAGATGCTCGGCTTGTTTCAAATGAAATTTGCTACTGTAGTCAACAACGAAAGTTCTGTGGCTAATTTCATTTTCGACGCTTTCACAAAGAAAATTTAAAACAAAAAAATGTGCATCTCATGTACTCCATATTTTGCGTGTGTCTGCTTGCAATACAATTCGAAACCGTTGAAATGATAATCAGTAAATATGATAGGCCTATTTGTGTATCCTACTGAAAGTTGTCGCCATATTTCGATTCTGGCAAATGTTAAGGGAACAATCGGAGACACTATATACATACGTTTGTGCTGCCATCTCTAGTATAACTCGCTAAACGGTTATTGCATTTAATAATGAAGGGAAGGAAACGTTATAGAGAAAACGAAACATGTTTTACATTTTACATAAGTCTAACGGTTTTCCAGATGATAGGAAAAAGTGAGAAAGCTCGTTGTAATGGTTAAACCATTACAAGTACATAACTTGTCTCTTTCTGGTGCGTTATTTTAAGGCATTGTCAGTATTTAAACAAACAGCGATGACTGAATGCTGATAGATTGGAAAGAAGCCTTCATGGCCTAACTGAGGGACTATTTTTCTGGAGAAACTGAGGAAACCCATGAAGAATATCAGTCAGGGTACCTGTTGGGTCCTAAATTTTTATGCATATTGTTTCAGTAGTGGTGAACTTCTGTTTCCATGAAACTCGAAACTGAATATACTCGACTTTCTAAAACACAATTAAATACTAAGTAATTCTAAGTAAGTTAAGTGCGTCACAGTTACTTTCAATGATTCTGCACAATGGAACCACATATGTAGAACCGTAAGATTTTAACTGTGACGCCCATGCAGGTACCCCTCTTTACACTGATTTTGAACAATGCGATTTAATTGTTATGCCTTCAACTAATGTAAACCGAATTTAATTATTAGCACTGACTTTAATGTGAACTGCATTATGGGTGACGGGAAGGGTGGGTGAGGCGTGTGGGTGGCAAATGAGGGACAATTGTGTAAGATTTATGCGATTTCAGTTCCTACTATTTTATTTTTTAAATACGGTACACCTGTACCAAATTTCGTGGTAAATTTGGGGCGTCTTTAACTCGAAACATGGCACATAATTCAGTTGGGTTGTTTCATCCTATGCGCTTCGGAAGTGGAGAATTCTTTATTGCTAGGACGAAAGTCCACCACAAAATCTCATTTTGAGTCATTTTAACATGTTAACATTTTCAAAAACTGCTTCCCTAAGACTCATTTTCTATTATATCGACTCATGTTTGAGCTGCTTGGAGGGGGGGGGGGTGACAAGCCAAGAATCTTCCATAAATTTAAAAAATCAAAATTGAACAAGAAATTCTGGAAATAACTTATCGCCTAATTTCTTTATAACGATACGATCCTCACAGAAAACAAAAAACTAGGGAGGAACACAAACAAACAGACAGCAAGATGATTTCGTAAGCCTCCTGACAAAAATTAGAGGGAATACACAGAGACGGGCACACAAAAATGCGGGCACAGAGCGAGAGAGCAATATGATCCCATAAGTCCCCTTTTATAGTTTTAAAATAAAGACATTTTGCTAAAAATAAGTAAATTTACTGAACATTACTATTATTTTAACAAATACGTGTATATTTTGCTATGCAGAATATTGTCTTATGTGACTTGAATGTACATTATAAGATAATTTTCTGGCTTTCCTTCTTCTTGGAAAATTGTCTGTACACTTAGTAAAATCTCTGGGGTGCCCATGGCCTTCTTTAGTTCTCTGACGCTTTGTTCAGGCCATGCCAAATTTTATTTAGTTAGTCACTGCAGAGTACAAACGATTCGTTCCTTATATCGTGTTCTTCATTCTCCGGTTAGCTTGTTCCACTTCGAGCTAAATATCGCCTTTAGCACACTCGTTAACAGCTTCTGTCTCTGTCCTTCGTCAGAAACAGACCAAGTCACACACTCACACAAGACTGCAGATACATTACAATAGTAACATCTGTCTAAGTTCTGACTTAGGAACTCTGTGCCGTCCAAGTGCCACGTCGTTCCTTTATTGGAAACTACATGTTTCGGCCCGACCTCCTCTGTGGTCTAGTGGTCAGAGTTCCTGGTTACAGATCCAGAGGTCCCGGATTCGGTTCCCGGCGCTACCATATTTTCTGGGAAGTAGTGGGTCTGGAACGGGGTCCACTCAGCCTCATGAGGATAACTGAGGAGCTATCTCAAATAATAGTGGCTCCGGTCTAGAAAACCGAGATTAACGGCCGTGGGGATCGTTGTGCTGACCATGCGACACTCTCTATCCGCTAAAATTGGCACTAACTTCGCCGACAAGCGACGGTCGCTCGGTCAGTATAGTTCGTTTGCGAACTAAAGCCAAGGATTTCTTTTTTTGTTTTTACATATTTCGGCCTAACTGGCCATCTTCAGGTGTGAAGGCTGTTGTATTTAAGGATTTGCTGCGGTTTGATTTCCTCTTATTGTAGTTTCATCACGAAAACACGCACAACGAACGACTATGATGGCGGCCCAACACACAACAGAACTCCAGCTCCAGCAAGAACATTCAAGGCAGCCACAACCAAGAAACCAAACAAAGCCAAGAGCAACCCCGTGCAACCCACATAACCTAAATAAACAGAGGTAATAAGGAAACGAAGTTGCACTTAGGCGGCACAAATCTCCAAAGTCAGATCTATCCAGTGCAACAGGATGCTGAAATATAATATTATGGCCTTTCTAAGCTATTTCTAGGGGTTCGCCATGCCTTGCAGAGGTAACCTTCATCATCATCATCATCATCAGTAATCTGTCAAGACGACAGGTCCACAGTCTCTTCCAAAACAATTCCTCCACTAAAAAAGCGATCTAGAGCTTTCTCCTTCAAATGACAGTAGCCTCTTCTGTCTCCAAGGTCATCCAGCATCTTCTTACGTCTTCTTCCTCGTCTTCTTGTCACTTCTATCCGCCCCTCTATTTTTCCTTCGACAACTTCTTTTAGAAGGCAGTTTCTGCGTAAAACATGACCAATCCAATTAGCCTTCCGTTTTCTTATTTCGTGTAGGATATTCCTCTGCTCACTGACTCGAATTAACACTTCTTCATTTCTCACATAATCGGTCCAACTGATCTTCTCCATCCTTCTCCAACACCACATTTCGAAACTTTCCAGATGTTTCTGATCTACTGCCCTAAGTGTCCATGTTTCAGCCCCATACAGAGCTATGCTCCAAATGTAGCATTTCACTAGTTTCTTCCTCAAATTTAAGTCCAATTTGCTGGTAAAAAGATTCTTCTTCTTGCTAAATGCAGCTTTTGCCATGGCAATCCTGGATTTAATTTCACTAGTACACCTTCCATTATCTGTTAACAAGCTACCCAAATATTTAAAACATTTCACATTCTCCAGTTGTTTTTGGTCTATCTTTATTGTGACTGGGGTTCGTTGTCTCGAAATTTTCATTATTTTTGTTTTTTCCACATTCATTTCCATGCCATAGCACCTTCCAATTTCCATTAGTCTATCAATCATGCCCTGTAGCACATTTTCTTCCTTAGCCATTAACACGGGGTCATCTGCATATTTCACAGTAGGTAACCTTACGGAAGGAAAATCCAAGAGTGTCCAACGAGATATCTGGTACAGCGGCTATAAAACCTATCGTAGGCTGAAAATAATAAGAAAATATATTTCTAATGATGACGTAACAATGTACGTCGCTATGATGCAACTTTAGAGATGCTTTAGAGAGTTTTACCAAGAGCTTCGCTTTGTGTGTTCATAGTCCATTTATAACACCCAATACTAAATAAATAAGGTTTCAAGAAATTCTTCTAAACAAGTTTTCTTTTTAAATAAAAATTATAACAGCTGATGACAGGGATACTACTGTTCTCAGATCCATCTATCGGCAGAATTAATACTACCTACAATCAGCCCCTGTTCTCCCATAAATTCACGCAGCATCATTACGATATTACTGTATAGAAAGATAGGCCTATACGTAGATGATATTACTTCTTTGAAGCTTCAAGGTAATGTAACAATATATAAATAATTTAGTTTCTACCTCACAGAAAATATATTGCATCTCCAACACAAAGCCAAACCAGATAATCTTATGTAGAGAAACAATCGCTGTGTATTCTGAGACCCGTAGGCAACACATGAACGCACTCTGTTGGCAATAGTCAGAGTTCAGAGTTCTGTAGTATTACAGCGGTTGATAAACACAGCGATCACCGAGCATCTGAAGTTCTATTTGGAAAGCAAAGGAGAAGATAAGTTTCTGAACTGCTTGGTAGCATGCACTTGGTGGCAAGTTTGACGTGCTCCTAATTTCAATACAAATAACACTGGGAATTGCTGGGTTTTGGGGACTTTATCGATCATCCGGTAAAGGTAAAAAAAAGTAAACCCCCTGTGCTTCATTACTTAAGAATTACGTCATGAAGTCGTATGGGAAGTGGATGCACGAGTATAGATTTACATTCTTTTGACCTCGTCACTAGCTGGAGCTGGAGCTTCACGCCCCGGAATACTGGATGATGGAAAAAGATCAAAAACCTAGTAATTCTGAGTGTTATACACCATTTTCAGAAACCTTTAGAGTCTACGAATATAATTATTTATTACTGAAGTTCTCTAATTCTTCATAGGCTTAATAATAAACTGAGTGTTTTGTTTTGGCTGACAGTATTTTCGGTCACAGTGATGATCATAGACGGGGAATGGTCACTCTCGGATTGGGTCATCCTGCTAACAGGTGTATTAACAGTACTGTACCTATTGGGAACGTGGAATCACAATCACTTCAAGAAGAGGAACATTCCCTATGTCAAACCTCTTCCATTTTTCGGCAACATGAGACCAGCAATATGCAGTAAGAACAAGGAGCACTTCCCTGATTACATTCTGAGAATGTACAGGCAGCTGGAAGATCACCCTTATGGGGGGGTGTTCAGCTTTATGCAGCCCGTGATCATACTTCGGGATCCTGAGCTCATCCAAAGGGTCACAGTGAAGGACTTTGATCATTTCACGGATCACCGATCTTTCTTCGATGAGGCTACAGAGCCACTCTGGGGTAAATCTCTCTTCAATTTGTCAGGTGAGTAAGGATATAAGTAGGCAAGTACAAAACAACGGACCTATGACAAACGTTGGGCCATGGTTTTCCAGAATGACCCCCCAGGTGTTCTTTGTTTAAACACTTGTCTTAAAGGTGATATCAAATATAGGCAGCAGTTAAAACTCTAATACGAGGGATAGTCATTAAATAGGTCACAAATGGATATAAAAAGCAAAACATGTGATATTCGAAACTGAAAAGAAACATTTCTCGACATGTCCAATACCAACATTGATAGACTTGTCCCATCGCTTTACATTACGTCGAAACCCGCAGCAGAGAAGTTTTGACTATTGTCTCAGCCACTTCTGTACATCCATTCCAACCTATTCGTCATCAGTGAAATGTTTGTTACGTTTCCAACCTACGATCCCAATGTTTGAGCTGGCTAAGACATTTCATGCCTTAGACTTTGCGGCCACTGTGATCGGCACAGGAATTTTTGGAAGGAAAAATGTAAAGGTATTTTATGAAAAGGAACATGTTCTCAGTATAGAACAAGGCGAAGCCAGACACAGAAAATACAGTACAAGAGGTAGTCAAGTTTACGACCGTACAAGTGACTAAGCTGCCTTTGTAGCATAGTATAAGTATGTAGAGATGTTCTGCTCTGTAAAGCCTGTACTGACAGAGGGCCTGTATGTAGTGCACAAGCAAGAATTTTCAGTAAAATGCTACAGTGTATGTGCAATAAGTACGATTGACGAAAGGCCAAGCATATTCATAAGATAGAAATCCATACTCTCGTCAGAGAGGATGTTACGTAAGGGTTTTGGCCGCATGACTCAATGGGCTTGGCTCCAAGACCAAGTGACTGGCGGTAAGCCGCCAGTCGTAAAGCAACCCCGAGTTTGACCTAAAGGTTTTACATATAACGAAGATATAAGAACATATTTTATTTAATTTACGACCCCTCTGCTTGGGATGGAAACGTCGGACTTTTAATTACGTGATTGTTATACCATTTACTCTAAATACTCTAAATACGTGTGCACATATATTTTTTTGCCTAGAATGACCGACACTATGTCTTCCCAGAATACTGACATTTCCTCCTGGGACATCTTTTATGGTTAGAATTACTGAGAGCGTTGTGAAATAAACCGTACATAAATAAACACATTCGTTTCCATTTCTGCTTCACTGGATTCCAACATTCATGAATAGACAAACGCGTCGCTATTAGTTCTATTGGCTATGAATTTGCTAGAAGTATGACAGAAAATATCTCGCTGTATATAGGGAATAGACTAAGGGCTGGATGACTAAGGTCTTGGGGTTAGGTCCCAAACAGAAGCAAGAGACTTTCACCTTCAATACAGTGCTCACACTGTCTGCGGGCCCCATTTACCTTCCTATCCATTGGGTACCGGGTTTATTTCTCTGGAGGTAAAATGGACGAGGGCTGGTCAGAATAGCCGAGCGGTCTAAGGCATGAACTGTCTTCTCTCGCTCGGACGCTGGATAATGGATTCGAATTCCACTCAGGGCATGGATATTTGGTGTGTGTATATGTTAATTCAGTTTCTGTCCTGTGTTTGAGTAGAGGCCTTGCGACGAGACGATCACTCGTCCAAGGAGTCCTACCGTCTCTAAAAATGATCATGAAACTGAAAGAAGAAGCCAGAGCCCACGGGGGCTGTAGAGGCAGTTAAAAGAAAGGTACGAGACGTCAGGCTAACATTGAGTTCCACCTAGTGCTGAGACTGAGAATGCACTGAGTTGTACCTCAACGTCTTAGTCGTATGGTGCGTAATTAAGCAGCGGAACACACTTAGATATTCATGGGGAAAAGAGAGCACTCAATCTAACTGTGCTGCTCAGTCTTATGAAGATAAGTCCAAAGCTGCAACTTTGTTTTTCAGATGAGCGCTGGAGGAACATGAGATCCATACTGAATCCTGCCTTCACATCCAGTAAAACGGAGGCCATGTTTGGGCTGGTATCGCAGTGTTGCCAACAGATGGTAGAGTTCCTTGAGCAGTGCTACCAACAGCCACCTGAACAGGGCTGCTTTATTCAGAGAGGTATGAAATAAAATTGAGTTTCTTAATTAGTTTGAACAGGGAAAAGACTATGAGAGACAAATGGTTAGAGAATTCTTCCCTGTAAACTAAGAAACTTTGGTATCTTACTAAAATATTACACGGAGTCACAACCTAGAAGACGGTGATCTTTAAGGAAAACTCGGTTTCATAAGTTCATAACTCTTTCTTCGCCTGGTCAAACTTAATAATTTATCAGATAAGTTGCTGAAGAAGAATATGTCTGTAATAGACTGAGAGCGAGAATTTCGCTGAGAATTATTATCTGGGATATAGCAACGCGTATCCCATTGAAATTCATCTGACGTTTCCGAGGGACATAATCGGCTTGCCACCAGTTCTCACGCTTACTCGAACTGAAGATAGATGTGATATATTCCTCCGAAACGTTGGTTTAATTTCAAATGAATACACGGCGATGTATTGCAAAAGATACAGCTCTTCCTAACCACCGCTGTCAGACCCTCAGATCTTACATGTTATGATTAATACTGACAATACTGTGTCTGACATACGTATTTTTGAGGGTGTCCATGATCAGACAGTGACGTAGATCGTTACGTTTTAAGAAAAAAATTATTCGATCTATTTTCAAGATACGACGGGGGACGAAAATCCCTATACCGGAGATATCAGCGAATATACGGGACTTTTCTTCCGTAAGGTTGGCAAGTGAAAAATGAAGCCATATCNCTTTCATCATAGTCATCGCCGTGAAAACCTCAAAACTTACACAATATCAAAGATGATTTACACAGAATACACCTGCATATTCATGAATGCGCGACTTATGACTTTATTTGCATAATTTCCATCAATAAGCTGCAAATTCCAACTACATACAAATTATTTTATTTATTTTTTATTTTTACAATCTACTAAATATACATAAATAGAGTAATTAGCAAAAGGGATGGGTGTGTGTAATAATGAAGCAGATATCATCCTCCGATGATTCTCAGGAGCTTATCTAATGAGATCCTCTGGCCACATTCTGTTTAGTCTTCCTTCTATTGCTGGTTGGTTGAAGAGGTTTATTATTAGTTGGTTGTTGTTTTGAGTGGTCCGGTTTTTGTGTGTTTCTCCGCGTAAATTCTGATGACATCTGTTACGTATGGTATGCCTAGACCATTATGTAGAGTAGCGTTTGATACGTACCAGGGAGCATTAACTAGATTTCTTAGCGCTTTGGATTGGAACGTTTGGAGGATTTTTGTGTTGGAAGGTTTGCTGCATCCCCATAACTCTATCCCGTAGGTCCAGACGGGTTTTAGTATAGTTTTGTATATGATTATTTTGTTTTCAAGAGAGAGCTCTAATTTTTTGTTGATTAGCCAATTCATATTTCTCGTTTTGAGCTCTAGTTGTCTTCTCTTGGCTTTTATATGCGTTCTCCACGTTAGTTTTTCGTCAAGGTGGAGTCCTAAATACTTAACTTCTTGTTTGATGGGCATGAGGGTGATGCTACTAACTTGCGCCCAGACAGCTCTTCTTGCTGTAAATGTTAATTGAGAGGATTTTGCAGGATTTACTTTGATTTTCCATTGTTCCATCCAGTATAGAATGAGTTGAGGTGTTGCTGCAGTTTTTGGAGGCTGTATTTAGATCTTGGTCTGATGACATTATTGCTATATCATCGGCGAATGTTGCCATTAGCGTATTGTCTGTTAGTGGGACGTCAGCTTTAAAGATTAGGTACAGAAAGGGGCCCAAGACGCTGCCCTGTGGAACTCCTGATGGTATTCGGATAATTCATCATCGATTTTGACTTGATAGTAACGTTCGTTCAGTACGATTTTATACTAAGATATAATTGTGCGGATAGGTTCATTTTTAGTTTATACAGTAATCGTTTGTGCCATACTTTGGCAAGAGCCTGCTGAACGTCGAGAAAGACCGAGGTACATGTTTTCTCTCCTTCGATGCTTTCTTTTATTTTGTTAACGATTCTGTGGCACTGTTGGATTGTGGAGTGATTTGCTCGGAAGCCAAATTGGTGCGTAGGGATTATGTCATTAGTAGACGTTGTTTCTGCAAGTCTTTTAAGGATGAGTCGTTCGAATACTTTGGATAGTGTGGGCAGTAGGCTTATCGGTCTGTACGAGCTGATTTCGGGTGGCGGTTTTCCGGGTTTGGGTATCATTATGATTTGGGCGTACTTCCATTGCACAGGAAGGTAGCACAGTCGCATCATGCAGCTGTAAATAGTTGTTAGTAGTACGATGGCTTTCCGTGGGACATTCTTTAGTAGAGCTCCTGTTATTAGATCGTATCCGGGTGCCTTGTGAAGGTTTAGCAGGTTTATTGAACTGCTGAACTCTGTTGGTGAAAAGGCTCTTATCGGTGGCGATAACTGACAGGAAGAGTTTAGGAAGGTTTCGACTTCGACCTCCTTGTTATTATTGTTATTGTTGTTATTTTCGTTGTTTGGTGTAAAGACTGTTGCAAGGGACTCAGCGTAAATATGTTTTATCTTTATTTGTCCGTGCCTAGCTTCTGTCTTGTTTTCTAATCGGTGGTATTGCAAGTGTTGGTCTTTTAAATTTCTTTGTGGCTTTCCACAGTGAGTGATCGTCTGGTGATAAGTTTGCTTAAATTTAACTTCAAAATTTCGCACCACTACCATATGTGTGATTTTTGACATGGGAAAAATATTCTATTAAAAAATTAAATCTATCCTTGTAACAGGTCGTGGAGGATCATAGGCTTTTGAGACGTCGAGGCTCCCACATTTTCTAGACAATCGGCTCACAGATGGCGGAGAGGATGTCAACCTTACGCGCCGGCCGCCCTTTATCCCCAGAAGATTCCTGGCGCTCATTTCTGTTAGAGGTTGAGTCTATCCCCAGGACCATAGTGTGACTGAAAGATTACGTCAATTGAAAAATACAATGACCTAATCGGAATCAAAACTGCGACCTTCCGGTTTCTAGCATAGTGCGCCAACCATAGAAGTCCATACCTAATTTATATGTGAGATATACTTTAGGTCTAACTACATACTAATTCCACATGCTAGACACAGCTCTTGAGCAGTTATGGACATGAAACCGAAAGATAAATATAGATTTCGTATCGTTATTGTTGCATATGCCATAGGAACTGAATCCCTTAACATAAGTAGTGTACTTTTTGAAGACTTTTTCCCATTAGCAAGCGGCGCAGCTATCACTCACACCTCAGAAATTTGCGCAGGTTCAATTTTACATCATTTATGACGTTATAAAGTACACGGTGTGTCCAGGATACGTTAGGAACTTTTTTTTTTGCCCTGCAATGCCATCTGTTGGCGAGTTGTGGCATTAAGATTCTTGTCGTTTCAGCTCTGGCTGTCTATAATTTCAAAGCGCAAGCATCGCTGCGCCATGTATTCTGACCTTGAATGTAACAGTACTGTTCTGACGCTCGTCGGAAAATGGCGGTTGAACAGAGAGCCAACAACAAATTTTGTTTGAAATTAGGCAAAACAAACTGAGAAGCGCACGAAATCATGAAAAGTATGTACGGTAGTGATTGTAAATATTCGATAATTCCAATTATCCAAACCCCCTGCTATAGTCACTCATACACGTGATAACATTTAGAATAGATCGTACTTCAAAGTGTTAATGACACTCATGCACATTGCAAACGGAAGTTTCATCATGTCTTTCTTATTTTCCACGCAGATTTCGAAATGCTGGTGCTCGAACTGAAAGAACTGTATGCCAGATACACCAATGATGTGATCGCTAGAACTGCATTTGGAATTGAAATCGACTCTTTCAAGAACCCGACAAACGAATTCTATATGATGGGACAGAAAGCTTTTAAAATTGGTCATCTTCGAATGATGAAATATTTTGGTTATCTGATCTCTCCAAAACTCATGCAGGTGAGCTATACCATCTACATTACGCGTACACTTTCACAAAATATTTTCGTTTTTTCATGGTAGTGATGGTGTATGAGAAGAGGGTGTTGAGGAGAATATTTGGACCGAAGAGGGATGAAGTGACAGGAGGTTGGAGAAAACTGCATAATGAAGGGCTTCATAACTTGTACTCTTCTCCAAGTATAATCAGAATGTTCAAGTCAAGAAGGATGAGATGGGCAGGGAATGTAGCAGGAATGAGGAGAAGAGGAATGCATATAGAATATTGATGGGAAAGCCGGAAAGAAAGAGACAGCTGGGAAGATCAAGACGTAGCTGGGTGGATAATATTGAAACAGATCTTAGATAGAATAGGGTGGTATGAACTGGAATGATGTGGCTCAGAATAGGGACAAGTGGATGGCTCTTGTGTACACTGCAATGAAACTTCGGGTTCCATGTAATGCTGGGAAGTTCCTGAATAGCTGTAAACGGCGGCTTCTCTAGAACGGCTCAGCTCCACGAAATTAGTTAGTTGCTAGTGACTTAGATTTAACTTATCTAGGATCTTGGATTCAAACACACAATTTTTAAAGGAAACTGTAGTCCCTTATTAAGAAATAGGAATGTTATATATATATATGTATATATGTATATACGTATAAAGGTGTGGCACACTATGTACAACTATTCGAGGACACGACTAATTAATCTTAAAAGAAACAAAGATGAAACTACATTACGCCATTATGCATTTCGTTATTTACTTACTTACTTACTCATGGAGCTGAGCCCTTCTGGAGGAGCCGCCAATTCTGCAGCTACTCAAGAATTACCCAGCATTTTATGGAACCCGAAGGTTCATCACCGTGTTCACAAGAGCCCTCCACTGATCCCTATCCTGAGCCAGAGCTATCCAATCCATCCCATCCCATCCCATCCTATCTCTCTAAGATCCATTCTAATATTGTTCACCCACCTACGCCTTGGTCTTCCCTGTGGTCTCTTTCCTTCTGGCTTTCCCACCAATATCCTATGCGCATTCCTCGTCTCCCCCATTCGTGCTATATGACCTGCCCACCTCATCCTCCTTGACTTGACCATTCTAATTATACTTGGAGAAGAGTACAAGTTATGAAGCTCCTCATTATGCAGTTTTCTCCAACCTCCTGTGACTTCATCTCTCTTTGGTCCAAATATTCTCCTCAACACCCTGTTCTCAAACACCCTCAGTCTATATTCCTCCATTAATGTCAGAGACCAAGTTTCACACCCATACAGAACCACAGGCAAAATTATAGTTTTGTATACTCTAATTTTTATGTTTTTGATGCATTTCGTTACCATGGTTACTCTCAGATATACAAAAATCAAGAATTTTTTCTCTTCACATTGCAATAATTTCCTTGTGAAATGGCGGAAGGAATTTTCTTGAACTCGAACCGATGCATTTAACAGCAAAATTAACAAATCCTCCAAGAGGAACATACAACCTCCCCTAGAAGCCTGTAATCTCATTGCTGATGAGAAGAATTCATGTGGGAGAACAATTGGAAGTAGGTTGGCTGCTCCTATTAGTTAAACATGCCACATGCGCCGATTTTTTGTTGCATTTGCTGCACCCGCTATTGCTTTCAATTTCCAAAGTCCTGGCTTCGTTCCAAGTAATCCCACGACTTTCTAAATGATATAGTTTGTTCAGTAATTCGAGTAGGCTCTTTCTATTAGACCCAACCGGATTGTTCCATCCACCATTTCACCTGAGAATGGAAACAGATCCAGTTTCCGGTACGTTGTTGTCTTTACAATACCGGATGATGAGTAAAGTCCAAAAACTCAGTAACCACGATTATCTTACTTTCTTTCTTCGCACAATATTCCTTTATGATTTCTTTCCATCTCCAGCAAGGTTCCTTAATATCTTCCAGTACTCGGCTGAATCATTATCTTAGGAGTTGTCCCATGTCTCTGTCTTTTACATCTTAATTCCAATGCTTTTCTCAATGTCTTTATTGAATCTATTCTTTTTGCCTCATCGAACCACTACAATAATTTGTGTTCAGCTTTTTAACACACCTGAATCAACGCTTCTGCTCTAAAATTCGATTTTTAATTGTAATCCCTTCTTGCTGTTTCCTTCGGCTAAGTTAAAAGGTAAAACTATTCCTGTAGCAGGCCCATACGGTTATGAGATGACGAGGCTCCAACATTTTCCATACAATCAGTTCACAGATGGCGGTGAGGTTGTCAGCATTAAGCATCGGCCAACCTTTACTCCCAGGAACATTCTGTTAGAGGCTAAGTCGACCCAAGGTCCGTATTTCCCTCAGTAATTCTCGGAATAGAATTAATAAGGATGCTTCTGTAATACAGAAATTTATTCACATAAATTTAAGGCTTCAAGAGGTAAATTATTTAAGTTTTGGGTTCATAATTGTGTGCCGTTACGGGTGTCGCTAATATACCAAATAGAATCATGCTTCTGAATTACTGCATTGTCATTTAGATTGAGTTCAGGTCTTAAGGAGTTAAACAAAAGAAGTTTCTGATTTATTATTTTCTGCAGTTGCTTGGTGTCAACATCATACCGAAGAAAGTCACCGACTTCCTCAGATCAACGATTTATGAAACTGTTTTAACACGGGAGAAGGAAGACATCGTAAAACCAGACATGCTCCAACTACTCACACAAGCCATGAAAGGAGTCCTTACAGATGAGACCTCCTCGGAAGAAAGAAAGAAGACCGACAAATCAAATGGTAGGTGGTTATTTCTTTGTTGGAAACAAAATACAGCCCCCCTGCGAGTAATTCACGATACAAGAACCTTTTTATGCAGAGAAGTTAATATACTGATGTGCTGTGTCAAATCAATTGATGTAGGATGGAAACACTTGCCGGCAGCATTTAGTATAATTGCTGTATGAACCGTGGCTTATATGTATAATATTATATTATTGTCACGTATTGGGTGTATAACGCGACAAATAACTTCACGCCTTATTGGATATAGCGAATTTTATTCCATACTCGCTCATACAATCACACAATTTACAATCTGACAGTTACTGCCAATGGCAGTATTACAATTACTAGACTGCATACTCTTCTCTGGCCAACTCGAAACTAACTCGAAACTGCTGCCTTGAGAACTGACTGTGGATAGTCTTCACTGCTCCTTATTTAGCCCCGTTCCGGACAACACAGAAAACAGCCACGTAATAGGCATCACTGTTGTCTGGCGCCGTGTTGCTAGCAACGCTGTAGGGAGTTGTTTATGGCTGCGTAGCAACGACGACATCCCTTGGTCGCGTCACCGCTGGCGGGGTAGAGGAAGGAGTGTTGACTTGCCTGCTACCCTAGTAACGACAGCACTCTGATGGTGTTACGTCACCGCCGGCGGGGTGAGGGGTGTCCTGAGAAGGACGACACTTCAAATTATGTATATTATATGTATATTGTCAAGCGTTGAAGCAAACAATGTACATACTGCAGATACTAAAAATATTATATTTCTGGACATAATCCATCGTATTCTTTTTTGTTTAAAACACTCTCCTCTTTTAATTCATAACACAATGTTTCGGATACTGGATTCTGTCTCCGTTTTCAGGTAAAATCTACTTAGTTTGGCCCAGTCGATAGAGCTAGGAACTACCTGAAGACGGAGACAGAATCCATTATCCGAAACATTATATTTTAAATAAAAACAAAACGGTGTTTTGAACAGAAGAAATAGGACGATGGATAATGTCCAGAAACATAATATTTGTGTTAATGTACCATCATCACAAACTTAGATCCTATTAACTAGAGATACTGTATACATTTCTATATTATATGGTGCTGGGCCATTTCTTGCCTTCAATACAGCCGCAATCCATATTGGAGTGGACTCGTAAAGGTTTTGAAAAGTCTCCAGGGGAAGTTTACACTAATTTTCTTGAAGAACATCTTTCCTTTAGAGACGTTTGAAGTGTCAATCTGGTCCTCACTCTAGTCTCCAAAATCGACCACAGTTTTTCAATTATGTTCAAACTTGGTGACTGTGCTAGCCAGGTAAACTGTCGAAGTGCACTTCCACGCTCTTCAAACCATGACTGAACAGTTCCAGATGTGTGAATGGGGGTACTGTCGTCTTGGAAAACTGCATCGGTTTTCTGAAATAACGTCTGATCATGGGATGTACCTGTTTATTCCAACCTGTCCACATATTCACTTGCAGTAATTCGGCCATGAAATGTAACAATGGAACCAACAGAATATTGTACCACGATATTGCTGCCAAAACAATAGAAAAACCTCCCCCCGTGTTTCACTGTAGGACCCGAAACAGGCATTCCGTATTGTAGGCTTCCTTGGGTGTTCTTCAAACGTAAACTCTTCCTGATGTAGGGAACAGCGTGAAGGACGACTCTTCTGACAATATTGTCATACCATGCATTTCCAGCTGTCTGATTTCCAGGTTTTATGGCCGTGACACCATCGTTTACGCATCTGGGCATTACTTTCAGTAATCAGAGATTTAGAAATTACAACCCTACCATGGATGTTGGATTTGTGGGGCTCACGTCTTACAGGTTTTGTGGAAACCTACTCTTCAAGATGAACATTCAGTTCTTCTGACCAGTCACCTAATTCTGCAGTAGTTCTGTGATTTTCCGAAACAATCCTTCTCAATGCACGACGACCTATTTCTGTCAATGTTGATTTTCGTCCACTGTTCCTCTTCGCCGATGTTGTCTCCGATGATTCGTGTATGTCGACATAACCTTAGAAACTGTCACTCTCAAATCACCGAATAATGTGGCAGGTTTTGTCACAGATGCTCCAGCTAAACTTCACCAACCATCTGTCCCCTTTTCAAAATCTGACAAGTCTCCCTTTTCCCGATTCTTTCAAACGGACTGTCACTCAACACAATCGCTAAGGCACTGACACGAGCACTACAGAAGAAAATATTAAGTGTTCACAACTGAACTTCTTTCAATGTAGCCAACACAAATTCTATTCTTAATTTCTTAGTGTTTCCATTATTTTGTCCACCTGTGTATATATAACTTTCCTGCCTGTTTCCTCTTTTCTGCGGTGAAGTTAACAGACGGTAGTCAAAATTTCACCGTACTTTTGCTGATATGAAAGTTAGTCACAACTGCTAAAGTGATGTGTAAGTATTTCCGTATAATTCTTGGATGTGAGTTAATTCCTAATTTCCGCTCATCTTTTAATGACATGGGTATATTCCATTTCCTTTGACATTTTACAGATGATAAAACAAATAATTCGGCGTGGACTAACATTCAGTCAACATTATTTTCTATAGTACAGGAAACAGCTTAGGGACTTATAGACGGCATTTGCTTGATTAAAATTTGGCCGATAGTTTAATTAACAATAAAACACTTGAGTGTTATTCCTTCTCTGAAGACTTACCTGTTGTATGTTATGATAATGACAGAAAACATATTGCGAGCGAAGAATGACTACTTCTGCTTTTACGAGGGAGATTCCGTAGTGGATATACTTAGGTAAGTCAATAAGTAATTTACAAATGTATATAGAACTTAAACAAATAAGAGTACTGATTTGAAAAATGCTTTTATTTCTCAACATAATCTCCCTGTACATTGAGACACTTGTCCCATCGTTTCACAAGCCCCTGGAAAACAGCAGCATAAAATTCTTTGGGCTGCTGTTGGAACCAGGCGTGACTTCCCTTTCTACAGCTTCATAGTCGGGCAAATGTTCAGTAAAAATATGATTTATTATTATTATTATTATTATTATTATTATTATTATACTCGTGCTCCTACAAAAACGCGCTATTTAGCTACATATTCTGTCCACGTTAAATTTGTCGGATATAACCATAAATTTTCGCAGCGTCGCCATGTTTGTAATTTTCGACTCATAATAACATTTGAAATAAACTGCATAGGCATGTCTATGGTCTATCTCCATTGAAAATTTGGCAACTTCAGTACTTCAATAGTTACCGTCATCAAACAGAAAGTCTATAACTGATTATACTAGTTTAGTGCGCTCGATGTTCCGGTTGGATTTAATGGCGTATTGTTCAAATGAAGTTCCGTGAAAGTCGGTCAGTTACTTCAAGAGTAGAAAAAGGGGACATATAAACACGGAGGTTTGCTTTTCATATGCCTACACACGAAAGAATACAGGTGGATTCCGTGCTAAAATGATCACTGCAGTCCTACGTATTATCTGTTAACATGCGCTACTTCAGGACCCTAAATTAAATGTTACTAATAGTGCTCTTGCCGGTCACGGTAGCTGAGCGGTCTAAGGCATGCACTGTCTTCCCTCGCTCGGAAGCCGAGATCGTGGGTTCGAATCCCACTCAGGTCATGGATGTTTGTGTGCGTCTTTCTGTGTTTGTGTACAGGTAGAGGCCTTGCGACTAGCTGATCGCCCGCCCAAGGAGTCCTACCGAATGTGTAAGATCTAGAAGACCCGAAGTGAACGGAGAAGTTCATGGAGGTAGGCCTAGGCCCACTGGGGCTGTAGTGCCAAGGAAAAAAAAATAAAAATATAGTGCTCCCGCCTCACAAGTTTGCGAGTTTTTCATATTGTTGATGCTGATTGTAGGGAATTATAAAGCACAACATTGGAGTTGCCTCAAATGGCATGAAATTCATACCCAGTTTTGTGGACATCGGTTAAATGGTTCTAAAACTCAAATGGAGGTCACACACGTGGCGATCTATATGTCTATTTCGGAGGTTTGAGGTTCACATGGAAGTGGCTATGAAGAGTGCGAGTTTCTTAGATGTGACATCACGTAGCGTGGTAGATTAACAACGCTTCGAAAGAACTTTTTGTCTCCAGCTTCAGGGTATAAGAGTAAAGTACTTTTCTATCCTGTAAACTGAAGCAGCACGTCCCTCTAAAATGTTAGCACAGATCTAACAGAATGCATGGCGTCAAATTCCAGAGGACGGTAATCGTCATGAGTCTGTTTCCTTTTTCTTTAAGGAATAAAACTGCCTAAACGAGATATCTTTGGCCCTTCGAAGTTTCAAGGAGTCGTGACTGACACACAGTTACTAACCCTTTCCTCGTGTGTTGTCAGAAATGGATATGGACGACATAGGAGCTCAAGCCCTTATGTTCTTCTTGGCGGGTTTCGAAACGACTTCCACGCTTCTGTGCTTCGCCTCTCATCAGTTGGCCGTCCATCCGGATATACAGAATAAGCTTCAGGAGGAGATTGATGCAACTCTACAGCAGCACGGAGGGAAAATCACACACGAAGCAGTACACAGTATGAAGTACCTGGACATGGTCGTGTCGGGTGAGAATATACATTTGTTTTCATTCAGCGCTAGCATATCGCCCGTTCATAATTCAGTGGCAAGTCTCATCATTTTTATATAAGCCTTTGTACTATTAACTTCCCCCTTCTTTCTCCCGTATTCCTTTCCAGAACTACACGTTATCGAGGGAAGCGTCGAGGCCGACCCCCCAAATCCCACGAATAACATGCACTCTTAAAGTCTCTTTTTTACAGCATATTACACTTCATATATCCATATCTAAACACTAACAGTATTCACAGAATAGATACGACACTCTAAAAAAAAAGAAAACTCTTCGCTCGTTTGTGACCGAATACATGACCTGTGTTCATAGAGCGTGCTGATACTCGACAATTCATTTTTATGATGGCCTGAAATTGTGTAATGAGAATGGTAAATTTTATGCTTAAAACAATTTTTACATATATATATATACATATATATATATATATGTGTATATATATATATTGCCACGTGTACGAGTGTAACTAGACGGGGATTGGATTGGATATTGGATTTCTGGACCACTTACAGATCGTAATTACAAGTAATTATAACGCTATCGCTAATCTTTACACTTTAAAAATCACTACAACACACGCTAAGCTTTTCAGTCTCCTGTCTCTTCACCAGTCATTCCTTGGTAACGGCTTCTAACAGGAGATCTCCATCTTCCGTGCTCGCTTTGTTGCCCACTGGTTCTTCATTGCACAGACTCCCTTAAATCTGAGTCTGAGTTTGATATTACGACCGACGATCAGTCGGTCAGTCGGTCTTGGAATAAAGCACCCACGTGGGGCTTACGACCAAATTTTTATTACTGTCATATACTTATGAGTTTGTTGATGTGGGGTTCTCTCTCTGAAGAGAGGACGGGTCTTCGTTTACAATTTCTGCTGAACTTCGCCAGCGCAGTAATTCTCGGGTCCAAGTCCCATGGGACTCGTGACCATATTTTACTCTCTCAGATTCGATATTTTCCTTTTCGTCGCCCCCTACGACTCGCAGGGCAACGGTGGAGGTATTCGATCCCGCCTACACGCGTGATCATCCCGTTAGGTAAATCTAACTTCGAAACTTGTCTCGGGTATAACACCTCGGGAGGAACCGCGCAGAAAACACAGTCTCCAAAAGTTCTTCCATTGTTGCGCGTGAAAGCTTTGCCATGGGGACATGTTTGTTTGCGAAGGCGTTACTCAGTAACGGCTGGGTATATTTGCTTATTAAGAATCTATTGCATAGCAGCGGATTTTTAATTATTTCGCGGTCGCTACATAGTAACTGCTCTACACGCTGCATTATACAGGGTTATTCATAAGTCCGTGAAACATTTAAAAAATTCACAACAAATAAACTATGCATCGGATCACGGTAATTCTTACGCCGATAGAGAATGAATCTCTCCAAGTCTTTTTGAAATCCTCCATTGCCTGCTAATCTCAGGCATCTTCGCAACCTTATCGCCGCTGCTGTGGCTGTGTTCAACCGTGATATGCTGACACGGGTGTGGGACGAAATGGATTATCTCATAATGTCTGCCGTATCAGCAAAGGTGGATGCACTGAGAATCTGTAAACTATGTAAAAAAAACTTGGTGAGTTTATCTCTATTTCAGTGTGAGGAAATTTGGTATCCGTTGCGTAGTTTATTTATTATAAATTTTCAAAATGTTTCACGGACTTATGAATAACCCTGTATATATATATATTGTGACATGTTGCGAAATCTGAGCCCCCCCCCACACCAGCAGTGACGCGGTGGGTGAGTCAGCGCTCCCCTCCC